AGCACTGAGTTAGTTGTGTATCTCTCTCTCTAACTGCTTTATTCACATTTAAAACAACAGTTCTCTTTCTAAGGGCTACATTTTCAGATGACCAACATTCTCAGCTTCCCACATATTATTGAGCTTCTGTTTAAAAGCCCAAAATCTGTTAGGGATCTAATGTGTTAGATGGTAAAAGCTTTCTCAAAACATCAAAATACACTCTTCTGGAAAGTTTATTTTTATCAGCCAATATCTTCTTTTTTTGTGATCACTATGCACACTAATCTTATTTTCACAGAATCTCCCTGGTATGTTCTGATATAAAATTGAACCAGGCATCCTTATATCATGAGAACGCAGTTGGAGAAACATATATTAATGAAGTGGAACAGGCAAAGTATGTGTTTTTATTGCAATGCACTTTGGGTAGCTTTTCCAAAGTTGACTGTTTATAATTGATAACTTGGAAACTTTGCAGCACATTATAAAGTTAGAATGATAATAATTTTATTTTAAAATACTATCTCCTAGGATGACATCTGATATATTTGTGTCACAGCACAACATTGTATATGAAGCAATTCACACATATTTACAGAATTGCTGTCATAAATGTGTAGTATAATACTTTAGATTAAAGATATTTTAAACAGTATTTTTAATTTCCTTCCCTCTTCTTTCACTGCAATTAGGTATAGACAAGAAATTGCATTAAAAAAAGGGAAAATTATGCAACCTAAGGAGGAGGAAAGAAGTGGATTATCTAAATGTACTAAGTCATGTAACAGTGGATATAAGAACTCATTTACTGCGAAGGAAAAGGTTCAGTTTCATACATACCATATTGAACAAAGTTTGTATTTTCACTGTGTTTTTGTAGACACATTATGATGTATTAATTACTTCAATCAGTTTGTCATTACCTTCATTTAAAAAGTTTTAAACTCTAAGAACTATATATCTTGAACTTTAGATGTTCTATAAAATTTATGTGACTAAGGTTCCTCTGACGTACATTACCAGCATAATGAGTTGAAGTTGCTCATCATCAAGAACTCATGCAGAGCAAGAAGAATGGGAGCTGTATTAAAGCCATTCAGTACTGATCTTTCCATTATCTGGCATTGACATTGGTTCTCTAGGGCTAGCACAGCTCAATAGCAAAGACTGACAAGCAGTATGACTTTTCTTTTCCTTGTTTTCTCTCCACTGATGTCTCTGGATACTGTTTTCACTTCTTGTGAAAACAGCATTGAAGAGACCCCTTACAATCTAATTATCCTCTCCCTTAATTTTAGTTTTACAAGATAATCCCATGTTTTATTATTGTTTTCCTCCACTTTCCTTTTCATTTGCATTTTATTCCCCCTTTTCCCCGTATTACATCATTGTCTTCCTCTATGCTCTCCCTTCCTGTGCTCCCACGAATTCTTCCACCTTACTAATGACTTCCTCTTCAATTCGCTCATTTAACTTACACAAAACACTTAGGGCTCGTCTACACTGGCCCCTTTTCCGAAAGGGGCATGTTAATTTCACAGGTCGTAATAGGGAAATCCGCGGGGGAAATCCCTTTGAAGTAGGAATAAGATCCTCTGGAAAAGGGCTTTTTTCCGGAGGATCGGGGCCAGTGTAGACGCTCTTTTCCGGCTTTTCTAAAAGCCGGAAAAAAGCGGTGGACATTTTTATTTAAATGCCGCGGGGGATATTTAAATCCCCCGCGGATTTCTCTATTACGACCTGTGAAATTAACATGCCCCTTTCGGAAAAGGGGCCAGTGTAGACGTAGCCTTAGGGTATGTCTAGACTACAGGCTTTTGTCGACAGAGCTTTTGTCGACAGATACTGTCAACAAAACTTCTGTCGACAAAGAGCAACTAGACTACATCCAGTTCTGTCAACAAAGCATGCCTCTTTGTCGACATGACAGTGTAGATGAAAAGGACAGCGTAAATGCAATAATGCCTGCTGTTGACAGAACTCTGTCAACAAAAGGCGTTATTCCTCGTAGAATGAGGTTTACGGCCATCGACAAAACTGCTGAGTTCTGTCAACGTTATATCGACAGAACTCAGCGGCAGTGTAGACGCAGGTATGGTTTTGTGGACAAAAGTCCACTTTTGTTGACAAAACCCTGTAGTCTAGACACACCCAAAGACATGAACTGGATGGACCATTATACTCAACAGCCAAATGACATCAAAACCCAAGTATGAGAGAGAGCCCACTCAGTTAGCCTCATTAGCACTGGCTCTACAATTGACAGGGTTTTTTTCCCTCTCCCCTCCCTTCTTTTTCTCTCATCTGAAGAAGTGGGATTTGCCCACAAAAGCTCGTAATACCAGATATATATTTTTGTTAGTCTCTGACAAGTACAGTACTACTTATTTTTTTAAAGTTACAGACTAATACAGATGCTACTCTGATATTTTTCCCTTGTCTTTCTGTTAGTTCTGGACAAAATAAATCTGTTCCTCCCGTCTTAGTTTTATTTCTGGACAGTACAAAATATAATTTTTTTTCATTACTGAAAAGTCAGTTCTTCTTCGGGTAGTCCCCGTGGGTGCTCCACGTTTGGTGTCGGGCTGGTCCCGGCGCCGCGAATCGGAGCTTGCCATAGCTGTAATCGACCGGGTCGCGCATGCGCGAGTAGCGTTCGCGCCTTTGAACAGCCGCGCGTGACCCGGTCTCCGCCAGTTCCTCTCATCCGCCCCTGGTCGCGGACGGAGCTCTACTTGTCTTCTCTCTACCTCAGAGAAACGTGGAAAAATATTATTAATTAACACTCTGCCATTTAAACAAAAGGAAAAACTAAGTAACCGGATGTAATTAATCTTAAAACCGGCGGTTCAAACCGCGGCTCTGGTCACTTTCGCCGCAGCCTTAGTCCCGCCGGCTTACTTCAAAATTTAAACAAAAGGAAAAACTAAGTAACCGGATGTAATTAATCTTAAAACCGGCGGTTCAAACCGCGGCTCCGGTCACTTTCGCCGCAGCCTTAGTCCCGCCGGCTTACTTCAAAAAAAAAAAAAGTAATAATAAATAAATAAAATAAAATAAATAAATAGAGATATACAAAATATACAGAGAAAATAAAACCAACAAGGAAACGGGAACAGAATATCACTCGCAGAGAGGAGCGCGGGACAAGCCCTCTCAGTCCTTTAAAATGCCGGGCTCTCCCGGCTTCAAGAAATGTTCTGTGTGCAGGGACTCTATGCCGCTCTCGGACGGCCACTCTGCCTGTGTCCGCTGCCTCGGGGAGGCACATATTCCCCAAAAGTGTGGGCACTGTGCCAAACTCACATCCAGAGCTCGTAAGGAACGGGAAAGGCGGCTGAAGGAAATTTTATTCGATAAGGCATTGATGCCTTCTACTTCGGCAGGATCCTCTGCCTCGGACCCTACTCTGGAGAAGCGGAGGGCTCCTTCCCCAAAGGCACCTTCTCCGAGCAGGAAGAGAGCCTCTCCCGCAAAGTCCCCGCCAATAGCCCCACAGCCGCGGGGCACCGCAGGAGGAAAGCCGGGTGCCTCTGGTTCCAGGGCAGCCCGTGCACCGGCAGGAAAAAAGCCGCCCGGCACGTCAAAGCCACGGCCGCAGCCGGCACCGCAGGAGCCCCTTCAAGCGCCAGCG